CCTCCTCCCACTCTCCCCCTCCCCCTCCTCCTCCTCCTCCTCCTCCTCAGGGGCAGGGTTCGCATGTGGCCCCCTATCCGTGATGGCCCCCGGGCGCGCGAGGCCGGGCGACTACACGCCCGGGCAAGCGGCGCTCGGGGAGGGCCCGCGGGCACGGGCCACTGTGCAAGAGCCCATGGGTCTGCCACAGCGCCCTCTGCCGCGAGGCCCCGCGCCGGCCGCCCCTGAAGCCCGGGCCAGCGGAGGGTATATTTTTTGAGGGGCCCACAGACACACACCAATACGTACACACACAAATCACAGGGATGCCCATATTTTCCCATGCAGTTGTCTGGGGTTCTGTCTTCCCTCCCCCCCCCCACACTTCCCACATTTTGCCTATCCTTTCCTGGGAATCGACGCTTCATTGTGTCTGTGTGTTTTTTCCCCTCCTGAATATTGGCGGCGTGTACAAGGGGGTGGGGGGAGGGGAAGGGTTTTTGGTAGAAGGAGGCTGCTTCTTAGAAGGCGCCGGCCTTACATCTATATGGACCAGGCCCGCGCCTTCTTTAGGGAGCAGGGGTGCTTCTAAGAAGCCCTCCCCCCCTCCCTCCACCCCCTTGTGCCCCAAGGGCCGAAAAGTCCAAATCCGCGCATCGCTGGCAGCCCGACCACCGGGCGATCCCGACCGCGCGATGCCGCCCGCCCGCTCCCGTCGCCAGACACACGGCCGCGCGCGATGGCGGGGCGCAGAAAGCCCTCGGCTCGGAGGCGCCGGTCGCGGACACGTTGTAGGGCCCGCCGGTCGCCAGCTCGTTGACCTGCGGCGGCCTCCCTGGTGTGTCTGCATCCCCCGAGGGGCAGGGGGCAAGCGCCCTCACTTCCCCTCCCCCTCCCCCTCCCCCTCCCCCTCCTCCTCCACAATTACACAATATGAAAATACTCTCCCACTTCCCCTGATGGCGTCCCGAAGATATCCGACACCCCCCGCGTATTGTTTTTTTACACACAGGATTCCCGGGAAACGGGTTTTCGCTGGCGTTTTTTCAAAATGCTGCTCTCGCTGAGGCGCCGGCCTCATTTTCGGGCCCCGCTCGTTCCGAATCGTGCTCCCGCTGCAGCGCTGGCCTCATTTCTGTGCTTCCGCTCGTTCCGAATCGTGCTCCCGCTGCAGCGCTGGCCTCATTTCCGCGCTTCCGCCCGTTTCGACTCGTGCTCCCGCTGCAGCGCTGGCCTCATTTCCCGTGCCATGCCACAGCACACGCGC